TGTCGAATATATAAATATTTAAAGGAGTCGAAAATTCAACACTTTAAGATAATTAAGAACATCCATTAACACATCATTCTCACGATGTAATATACCAGAGATAAACCCACTTGCATCGCTTTGTGCCATCCGGTTTGCAATTACAAAGAGCTCGAATTAAAGTATTATCGGTCAATCGTCCCATACATTTAAAGCATATTAATCACTGTGGGAAACCACTCCTATGTAATTTATAACCCACGCTTAAACGCTGATCAATGTTTAATTCAGGAAAAATTCCGTAAGCGATCTCAAGCCACGGAATTTTGAGATAAACAATTCTAATTTTTCAAATTTCACATAAAAGGATCTTGCCCAGACTTTTTACATAAAAGGCTGGCGCGCTTGCGAGCCTTCCGGCAGTGCGAGTGTCCATGGGCGGCGTATCACTTAAAATCAGATGAGACTCCTGCGCATTTGCCCACTGTTATATAAAAAAAGAAGAAAAAAAAAGTTAACGCAAGAAATAAATAACAGACCATTAATTTATTTATCTAATCATACATAATGTTAAATAATTCCTTTAAATAGTTATCCACATTTTCAAAGACTGCGTATAGAGTATAGGCCTATAATGTTAAATATAACAAAAGTATTCTTTGATTGTATAAAGATTTATTAAAGAATACTGTATCAATAATAATCGTTGACAAAAAACTTAATTTGAAATTTAGTATTTTTTTGTTGAATCATTCAGTTTCATTTTATTGTTTGACAGCGTACCTCGAAAATTAATGATTAATTTATTTTAAAATTAATTATTGTATACTTAGGAAAAATATAGTAAGTAAGTAAAACAAGAAGGATAATTTGCCGAAGAAAATTTTTTTTTGGCCTAAAATTATATATTATATAATTAACGGTAATTTCAAAACTGTACTTAATCCAAAAAGATTTATAACCTGCATTCAAAATCATAGCCAATAATTCGAAATGACCATCGAATATATTCCGAGCATAGACAATAATTGACCGCAGTCGTAAAGGGCATCGTGAATTAAACTAATGTTCAATAGAGAATAAAGGAGTTGTTGGTTATCTATGGAATTCGGTTCAGTGTGACTCAGTGCGGCCACACCTGACGACAACAATTGTCAAATACCAAAACTAAGTTGGGAAAGGTATAGTTCATCTATATTAACGTCATTTATTGATTTCAGTACGTAACTTGTACTTGTATGGGTAAATGAGATTTTCAGCATTGATAAATAAATGAATGTTTTTAATTCAACGCATTCTATCTACCTACTTTTTATTAGATCCACTTATAATATACTTCTAGCTTCTTACGCCTTTTTTATTTTATTTTAGTGAAAAAAATACTGTGAGGTATGATTTAGATCAAACAATTTAATAATTGCACAAAGTATGTGCATAAAAAACCATTTATGCACATACTTTGACGTCTATGGGTAAAATCCATAGTCCAAACTTAGTACTGAGTATGTCTTCCGTATGTCGTAAACGTATTGGATTTGACATATGAGTAATTACTAATGATAAGCGTTAACCTATGTCAAAAACATATTAAATTTTAACATAGATTTTTTGTGAATTTTACCCTGGAAGAGTAACATTCTAGAATGTCAATCAAATTTAAATTGAGTTTCAAAAGCTGACAAACCATTTTCAGTATGTTTGACATATTAGACACTAGACAGTGCCCAACTTGTGAATTAAGATACGAATACAAAGAATATGGATCTAAGTCTCAGGAATCTGAGCATTTGACCTTAAAATTGACGTGATCTAGGCGTAGGAAGAAGCCGCTGCCTGTAAGACCTATTAAATGCCATGACGTAGCGTCACTGGATTTTTATTAACAAACAAATGAAAATGTTTGTAACTCTAAAAATTATTTATTATAAGTATTGAAGGCACTTTTTCATAAAAGTCAAAGCAATCGATTTATCTAATTTTTATTAGAGTCAGTTATATAATACTTTAGGCTGTTCAAGCTTCCGAAAAGTTATTAAAAGCCTAACAATGCAGAGAAACGATTCACCAAGATTTTTTGTCTTGTCACAATCGAAAGTTATGAAATTCACGTGCTGCGGTTCGATTGAAATAGAGCATAGAGTAGGCCATGGTGTAATTTAATAAGGTATTATAATATAAAGCTAACTGGAACTGTTTTCTAAGAAAACGTCACAGTTTTCCACTACAGGCTGAGATTCAGAGAAGTTATTGTAAGACTGTCAAAGTACGTCTATGTTCTTGTCAAACTTTGCGAGGTCTGGTTTCTAATCCGACTGGAATGATTAGAGAGAAGACTTTTTTACTTATCTGTGAAGCCATATAAAAATGTATTCATGGCAAAAATATATTAGTATCATCTGAAACTGCAAGGTTTTAAGTTTTAACCAATATAATACAATTTATTCTTTACTTTCTGTATTTGGCGCCAGATTCGTATACATATTTGAAAAAGGCTGTCAGAACCTTAGAAAGACAACAACGATCTTATATTGTTAATAATTATTGGTCCGTCTCTCTCAATAAGTACATTATAAATAATGCATAGCGTCTATAATCACTTGTAATTTTCAAAGTCACAGTCGCAATAGGAAAGTAACTAATAAATATTTTGACGAAGACGATGACGTAAGAAACGAACATCACTCGAGTAACAGACCATATTTAATTCTACCATAAAAAAGTACTATCAAAATTGCGTAGCTGACATTATTACCAAACAATCAAAATTTCACATTCCATGTTTACTGAACGAAATGAGTTTTGCGGTCAAACAATTGACATTCGCTACTGGATCATTTCACAGCGCATTAGTTGGTTTCGTAATTCGTACGCTTATTTTAGGGCGATCGATAAACCACAGATACTAAATGACAACACTTTGTTGTTTTAAGAAAATATAGAGCATTAAGAGCATTGTCTTTTGTGATTGTGGTGAGAGCATTGACAGTTGACATCAATGTTTAAAAGGCAAATAGTGATAACCTAGTTCTGTCACTAACTGTTATGGTTATAGAATCTTTATTTCTGCTACTTTTTACACAGAAACGTTTGTATATTATTTATTTGTTTATACCAACTATTTATACAACACAGTAAAGAAAACAAGATAATGGAATACGAAAAAACAACAACAATGAATAATATATAGAAATATAGTATATACAAAGAACACACAAATCTATTTAACCATAAAAATACTAATAAAAAATTTGAGCTATAAGACAAAATCATCTGTGTTTATATGAATCAAATATAATCCGAACAGCTATATTGTACACTGCAAAACGTATTTGCTTCTACGAAAAACTTAATTTCGAATAATTCAAACGCCAACTCGAATAATACAAAATTGCAGTGCAATAGACAATGTAATTCTCAACATCGGACCACGATTCAGCAAATTAAATCTAAAATTCCTCCATTGCCCTTTGACCTTTGAGATCTCAATTACAGCTTTAATTAATTAGAGTATTCGATGGTTTAATTAAGACATGTTGCGCCTACGCTAGGTATATCGATGATTTATACTGGAATCCTGAATCATAGACAATTAAATGAAGCAAATAGATGTGTAAGCGTCATTATTCTGACGGTAAAAATTCTTTATCTCAATTATATTACTTTAATTTGATAGATTTAAATCTTTATTTTGTTAAAATTCGAAAATGAACTGTGGATATGGGATATTCTATTATTTATGCTTTGCGGTAGTTGCTTTCTTTGTCAAAATTCGAACAGTCTATGGATATACAATGCTCTATGGTGTATGCTCGTTATTACATTTTGGCGGGAACTTGATTGGGGGGTGACAATTCTATAAATAGGATGATCTTATTTAATTATTCCGTTTTGGTGGGTTCAAATTTTTCTTTTTTTGTTGGGGGTTTTTTTTTTTTTATTAAAAGTTAATTGTATATTAAATAACCTATGTGATTTTACTAAGTATCTAATATAATATAAGTATTGTTTTAATGTTTTATAGATTTATTAAAAAGATATTTATTTATATCACATTTTATTGCATATTATATTACAAAAGTTAAACTTTGCGAAAAAGATTTAGATGATGAAATATGTAAACTTTATAATATGTTCGATCTGTATGCTGTCTCAAGATGCTGGATCAAAAGCTATATTTTAAATGTATTATTTGTTTATAAGACAAATCTATGCAAGACCAATTAATAACTGCATACAATCTGTCTATTAAAGTATTTCATATATTTTTTGTTCAAATAAATATGTTCAACATGACTTATACAAATAAAGCTTGCATACCGACGCAACAAGACATAATTAATGTTTCTAAAACAAAACACTAACAAGGGTCACTATTAAGCCTTGACATTTAGCTTATGATGAATTACTTTTTCAACTTTTATCCAATGTCCTCGGCTTCTGTTGCGAAGTTGGAGTGCTTGGGACACGCGATCACAATAATAAAATAAATAATACGTGTGAGAGTTGTGGCGGGTTTATTTGACTTTGACGTTGTTAATGTATCAGCTCTGTGACAGATAATGACAATGGCAGCTGACAGTTACGCCACTGCTCCGATATATAATATAAGGGAAGGTAAATCACTCTTTTTTCATCCTGTACTTTTTTCTAATACATAGTTCAAATTCTCTCTACGGGAAGAAACACTCTTTAATACAACTGATGTATCCTAATAGGGTCCCCCAACCCACCCTTTAAAACTGAACATATGCTGTGTTGGAAAGTCTTTACTTTAGGACCAAAAAATCTTTCATTCAAGTGTGTCACACACCAGGAACTTTTACTATTCTTTGAGGGCCTACATTGCTGCTGACTTTTAAAGGCTTTTGATGAAGATGTAGTTAATATATAATATCATCATTTTATAGTTTCTTTATTTTTATTTAATATATATAAAATCATCAATTGTTTTATACTGTAGTCATTAAATGTTTTGAAGTACGTTTACCACTGAAGAGTATCTGGTCACCTACAACATAGGGATGTCCCTAGTGTTGGGCGGATCCAGGCCCAGGGTTTCAGGGTGTCTCTCGATAAAACGGAAGCCCTGCTATTCCATAGCCCGAGGATGTGTCCTTCTTCGTGGCAGCATGGTGGTTGAAGGCGTTAGGATTCCGGTGGCCTCCAGTATGAAGTATCTTGGTCTTGTTCTGAATGGTCACTGGAATTTCGGGAGACTTGTGAGGGCGGCAGGAGGATTTGGCAATCTGTGAAAAAGTATCACAGAAATACAGGGAGTACGTGGTTTCATTACTCGTTGGAATATGTATATTGATATATCTAATAAGATTACCTAATCTATTTTCTTTATCCAAAATCTGTTTGTATCTGTCATTCTTTACTTAAGCAAACAATATAGTACGTTACTCAGAAGTATTTATTTTTAAGCCAATATATAGAAGAAAATCAATATGGAATACGAAAGATCCGTTGATTTACTCACCTTGCGGAATCTCTCTTATCTTGAAGAAATCGATAAAATCTAACGCCAAACAATTAACGCGGATCAATAGTACACGTCATTTCCCGAGATTGTATCTGGCACAGCCATTATTCTGCTAGGAGAGACTAATGGACCACTACAGTAATAACTCAGCTCGGCTCATTGTACGAGAATCGCATTCTAGCACTATCGGTGCTTCTGTGACAAATTTATTAAAGTCATGCTGATTATCGGACTGATAATTAAAATTAGATTCGAATCGTATTTTCTAATACGCATCACCAATACTGCTTTCAGATATAAATCTATAAGCCCCAAATAGCTATTCAATATATGTAATTTATTTGATTTTAATAGCAGTGTTGATCTAGGTACAAATCTCAACTCTGGTCGTGGGTTCAAACCCGGCTTTGCACCATTGTATATTGGGCTTTCTGACTGTGACCGCATTTAATACCCGCTCATTCGGTGAAGGAAAATATCGTAAGAAAACCGGCTTAGACCCAAAAAGTCGACAGTGTGTGTCAAGCACTAAAGAATGACTTACTTGTTTATTAGAAAAAATAAATGATAGAATACAGATATAGAAAATTGAGATCTAGGCCTGCAAGTTTGATTTTTGAAGTGAAAACTTCTTTAGCGGCGTTGTACACTTTTTTGGAATGGGTAGAAAATGTTAAACTCGCGTCAGGACAAATTCGTAAGACGGATGTTTTTTTAAAGGATTATGAAGCTTAGTGCTATATAGTTACGGTCTTAATTCATTTGTCTCTTTCCTCAGATACATTGATACATGTGGAATTGGACCTTAAGTCAATATATCAAAGTTTAATTTTGCGAAACGTCTAAAACTTTATTATTAACGATTTGGTCAGAGTGACGACGGATGGAGAATAGACAGCTGGCGCGGCGCATTTAATGTAATATAAATTGTCATGTTTGTGTACGATAGAGCAATAAATAAATATTGTGTTCTACCACATAAATGATAGTACTTTAACTGATAACTGATAACTAAAGCAATTCGTGCAAAATTTTAAGGTTTTTTTTCTTTCCCTTTTTTTGGGGGTTTTTTTTTTTTTTTCCCCCTCCTTGGGAGAATTTTAAAAAAAAGGGGGGGTTTTTTTTTTTTTTTTTTTTTATTCCCTAACCATTCCAAAATGCACAATGTTATTCAAGTTTTCACTTCTGCCGACACTCCCGCAGTGCAACCCGTCTTTTTTTTTTACTTTATTTTTCAACCCATTGCTAGTTATAATAATACACAAATACACAATTAAAGATTGAAGAGTTATGAAGAAGTTAAAAGGAAAAAAAACTAGGCCAAAATACAGGTTTACTAAAATACTTTTTTACTATAAAAAACAAACAAAACATACCATGTACCTATGTAACTTTCAAAATAAATGAACGTGCATTCCTCAACTAATATTATACTTATACTGTTATGGTTAGTTTGAAAAAAGTTTCCATTTACGTCTCGTAATGGAAACGAAAATAGTAATAATACTAGTCGTATGAGGAAGACGTAATGATTATAAAACACTAGATGACCCGGCAAACGTTTGTTTTGCCATGTATATTATTTCTAAGAAAAAATTTTTTAGTTCAATATAAATAACTGTCTACAATAATAAAAATTAGGGGTTGTATGTATTTTTGTATGCTGTATCATAAAAAAATAAAAACAAAAAATTGTCTAAATAATAAAAGAAATTGTTTTGGGGTGGACCCCAACTTGGGGTTTGAAAGAAAAGGAGCCGATTCTCAGACTTGCTGAATATGCCAAAAATTTCATACGAATCGGTCGAGCCGTTTCGGAGGATTATGGAACAAAACAAAACTAGCAGTTAAAATAAAATTAGAAATATTTTTTTTTTTTTCTTTTAAGAAGAAACACAAGTGTTTTTTTTTCTTCCCTCAATTAATTATTTTTTTTTTTTTTTTTTTTTTTTGAATTTGAACATGTGACATGGGAATTTTATTAAGATCTTTATAACATCCGTGACGACGCCAACATCGGCCAATTCATAAGCAACAGGCGCAAGTGGTTGGGACATGTGCACCGAATACCGGACGACAGTACCCCAAGGTTTTTGCCGAACTCACAACCGGGTGGCAAGAGAAATCCCGGTAGACTGAGGTTGCGTTGGTGGGATGTGGTTGTCAAGGACCTCGAAACAATAGGGGTTCGAAGTTAGACGCGGGATGCACTGGATAGATTGCGATGATGAAGTGTACTTGATGAGGCTAAGGCCCACCAGATGATGATTGCTCATTATTAATGTATTTAATATAGTATGAGAGTTTTAAAAAGATACTATATACTATGTGTTGATAGTTTGCGTATAATCTGAAGGTATACGGTACGATATATGCATGTTACGATGATAGTTAGTATGAAACCAAGGATTTTGAAAGAATTGTCTTTGCCCTGTTATTTATAAAGGATATTTATTTTAATTGTCTCTGCTTATTCCTTTTAATCTCAATATTATAAAAGACGACTGTTAAACTCAGCATGTAGCTAAGAAATAAAAATAAATAATGAACTTTAAATAGTCGCCATGCTTATTAAAAACGAGTTGAAAGGGTAACGATAAGGTTTGTAATATAAGCAATTTGTAGCTTATTATGTTATTATGTTGACTCATTTAGTACACTCAATACTCAATTTATTAAAGAACGCTTCGGCCTCAACCCAATTACAAGTATGAAACATCTTATTATCCTTATTTATTTCTACAAAGAGAATACTTTGATCCTTGAAACATGTCTTAGAATGATTCCTGATTATTTAGGCATCTTTTATATATAAACTCGCGTTTATGTAAATTAAAATGTATGAATCTGGTCTCATAATAATACTGTTTCTTGTTAGTTTTTCTCGTTCGTTCGTGCCCTTGAACTGACAGAGATAATTTCACGTAAGTTACCTACATAAACAAATTTATTGTAACTTTTTGATGTTGTTTCATGAAACAAAATTTAAATGAATTATTTAGTTAAAAGGGCGTCATATGATTACTTTTTATTATTATGAGTTTTTAAGATTGTAAGACCTTTAATAATAAATAATGATTTCTCTTCGAATTAATTTTATTTATCATGAACATCATAAATCTAAAAGTAGATAGTAATCAGACATTCTAAAAAAAAAATAGCTTGGAGATGAAGATGCGTCAAAGAAGAATTTAATCTACGGTGGACATTGAAAAAGCTAATTACGAAGGTAATTTTTTGTTTTAAACAACTTTTAAAAACTTATAACTTGCAAACGAAACGCTTACTAAGAATTTTTAAAGGCGCAGACTTGCCCTCATTGCGCAGACCTCACCTTCCTCATTTTATTGGTGTACTTGAAAATAACAACATCGTCACGTTACTGAGAAGTCAGTTTTGTGACCACAAGGTCAGACCGGGCCAGCGATTATTGAACAGCATATTTTTTCGCACAGTCATAAAGTGTACTCTAAGATTGGTACAAAAGCTGTTCAAACATTGTTTATTTTGGAATCTTGGTAACCTGCCTGGTTTCGAATGGGTGGATTTTTTTTTAGAATTTAGAATAAGCATTTACAACATTCTTAACCTACGTTGTAATATTAATAATTAAAAATGGATAAATAGAAAACTTAAACGCATTCAAAATGTTTGGCCCATGGGGCAGTGTACCTTTAATGAAAGCATAACTAGTAAAACTTTAAAAAAATACTATGTACTTTAAAAATAATAGTTTCGTTTCGCTGAAGATCAAACCCAGTCACCTCCCAGTTATTTTCCATCCATCCTCCCATTTCCATTAAGAATAACGTGTAGTAGCACTTCAAATAAATATTATAGTATACAATTTATGTAAGATGTAGAGAGAGATAAAACTTCTAAGAATCATGCACCGAAACAAAATGCATTAACATTTTAAAATGATATATTAACGTATATTATCGTAATTAGCAGCATTTAAAAATGTCTAGATAGAGTTGACATTTTAAATAGCCTTGAGAACAAGGAAGGTAATTGAAAAGATTTTTAGAACGCAGGCTAGATTCTAGGGTATAAAAATATTGTGAATTATGAAAAATTGACGAGGATGTTACTTTCCATTTCCATACGGAAAGTTATTAGCTACATAAATAACGAAATCATACATAATGTGTTTTCTATATTTTTTCTAACAAAAAAAAAAAAAAAAACTTAATTTAAATTAATTTTCTTTTTTTTCCCCTGTGGTCGACTAAACTTTTTGCACGGCACAAGGATCTGATCTCTTGCCATCGTCTCCGGCAATTCCGGAGTAATCGGCACAATGCTGAAATATTTTGTGTATGATTTTGATTATAAGAAAGCATTTCAACTGTTTCACAAGTAGGTATTGCTTCTTAATATTGCCTTCGCGAAATTACCTCCTTTCTTAAAGGGAAGTGATCTGTTCCCGTAATGAATACTAGGAAGTATTATTTATTACCCACTGAAGTATTTCCGAACCAATTCGACTTAGGGTCCTTCGAGAAAAAAGCGTGCCAATTCTTAAAAGGCCTGCAACGCACTTGCGAACCTACTGGCAATCTGAGTGACCATGGGCGGCGGTATCACTTAACATCATTTGAGCCTCATGCACGTTTGCCTCCTGTTACATAAAAATAATAATAGGCAATGGGCCCCTAACCACCACCATCTCGCATGCCCGTGTCGTGCGGCCCAGCGACCACGCAGCCGACAATTTGTAATTTAAAATAAATTATAGTGCAATTAATATATTTATGCAATTGT